AGCGCTACTGCCCGTCTCCGCGCCACGCAGGGCGCCTGCGACTCCGACGCTACCGGCAGCAGCAGCGGCTCCGGTGAGGAGAGTGAGGCGGACGGCACCGGGCAGCAGCACCTGGCCGCGGCCTCCCCGGGGTGAGTATGGGGGTGCCGCTGCCCTTCCCCGGAGAGGAGCCTCTTGAGTATATCCTGTGGCTTTTGTAGAGTTGCTTAAGGGGTCTGGCCGCTCAAACGGCCGTTTTCGAGTTATTTAAGTCTAAAACATCATTTTAATAATAATTCTGAATGTTAGGGTTTTAATTGTGGTAAACGAATGAGAAAACTTTTTTCTGCCGTCCCTGTTTTATCATCTGACAGCGTCCCCCGAGCTTCTTTCCTTAAACCCGCAAACGACCCCCGTGTCGTGGGGAAGGGACGGCTGCTCAGGCCCCCGGCTGTGAATTTCGGCGCGTGGGGGCAAACGTGGCTGTAGTCCAGTGTCTCTGGTTCCCTCCCCTAGAGGGGAACGTGCTCGGAGCTCCTTGGGGGGAGCCTAGGGGCGATGGTGTGGGGCAGCGGCGGGGGGGAGCGGTCGTGTTGGTCTGAAGGCAGCAAAGCATGGGAGATTTTATCTTGTATTCACCTCTTCAGCTTCCTTGTGAACTTTTATGTGTTTTTTGTCTTGAAAAGTTGTACATTAAGTATTTTTTACCGTATATGCTTTAGTGGTGCTCTCTCTTCTGTGTTGGTTTTACATACATTAGGTCAGATATATAAGGCGTTTATCTCCAACAACCTTTACAGTGTGTGCCACTTCACAGCCTAATGCTATTGTATCCATCTTGGTTTAAGGATGTGAGCAAGATCAGGTTTGTAGAAATGACTTTTTGTTAGGCTGCCTGATGTAAAGGGTGGGGGGAGAGTGAAGTTTGGCCCTGGTTTGATTAAATCAGGGTATAATAAGATTGTTCTGTGGTGATGTAATAGAAGGGAGCTAACCGTATTGGTGCTAGCGTGGGGGACAAACAACATGAAGAAAAGCTTTTACTTTTACGAAGGTTTTCTAAAGCCCAGTGTCTGCACTGACAGTGGTCTTCTGTATTATTCCAAAACCAAGTGAAAGTGCTTTTGCAACAGGAATGTTTGTGAAGTGCACTAGGAAGCAGTATGTGTCAGCTTCGACGTGGCAGGGCCGCTGATCTCAGCGGTGGGCGAAGTGCCTGCGTCTTGCAGTGAGTACGCAGGACTTTCAAAAAGATCAGTTTTGTTTTCTGCGTGTCAAGCAGTAGTCTGAAAACTAGCAGTGCTGAGAGCAGAGGTCTCTACTGTTTGTTTTGTTTGTTTTTTTTCAACTTTATATCCAAAAGTAGTACTTGTGTGGTGCATTGAACAATGCAGTTTGATAAGAGAAGCCAAGTAACAGCTAGCTGCTGGCAAAAGGGTTGGCCCTGCTCTCTGCCCCTCTCTGTACCTGTGTTTGAGCACAACCATCTCTGGCTCCTAGGTGGACTGGATCACGGTGTGAAACTGTCAGCTCTGTAGAAAAATGAGGTTCTTTGTGTCCCTTGAAGCTGGTGTTTGTAGTTTTAGGTGTTTGCCAGGAGGGGCTCTTTGGGCAGTGAGGAGGAGAAGGCAGCAGGGCTACCTCGTTTGGCTACTGCTAGCTCTTGGAAAGGCTTAATCACTTCTTAGGAAAGACTCAAACCAGCAGTGGTACTATATGGTAGTTCTCAGCTGATAGCACAGATTGTAAAGCCGGGTGATGTTTTAATCCTGCCAGATATATCTGCTGTATGTATCGGATCCTCTAAATAATGTAACCTTGTAGGGGTTTCAGCTCTGAAGTGCTGTTTTCTGAAGAGGGGAGAGAGCAGTTAGCCCTAGAGACATGAGAATGTTTTTTTGTGTTGTAGAGATTCTTGGTTAGTTTTTTTCTGTTTTGTTGAAGTCACTGTTCTCTCTGCTCTGAGGTGACCTATTCAGTGGAAACTGATAGTTGGAATAACTGTCTTGGGGGGAGGGAAGGAGAGTAAAAAAAGCTGTCTCTGACTTAAATATTCTGCCATTTCCTACTCTTAATTTATTCTTTGAACCTGACTGGACATTAGGTGCCCACTGAAGCCCCTCCTCAGCTGGACAGGGTAGAGAAAATACAATGAAAGGCTCGTGGATTTCTTTCATCCATTTTAAATACATTATCCCAGAGGTGCTCCCAGTGTCCCTGATGGGCTCAGCCTTGTCCAGAGGCAGGTCCATCTTGGAGCTGCCTGGCATCTGCTCTGTCAGACACGGGGAAAGCTTCTGGTAGCTTCACAGAAGCCACCGCTGTAGTCCCCCCACTACCAAAACCTCACAACACAAACCCAATACAGTCAGTCCTTGATGAGTTAATGTTTTCTACGTTATTTGTCCTCGTTCTGCTTCAGAAGCTGGAGTTGTTCAGATGGAAATGTGTGTAATTCCGTGCACTCTTTCTTCACTGTAAACCACTGCATTCCTGTCTCCTTGGGCCCTTGGAGCTTTTCTGAGCATCAGCAAAGTGGATGTGACCTGATTCTGCCACCCTCCGCATTCATAGAGCAACAATGAAAAATGTAACAGAGCAGCAGCCCTTTGGAGAGTCATTCCTATTAGGATAGAGGGCTCCCCAAAACCTGTGAGGGAGTTTGTTGAAAGCTTTTACTGCCAGGAGGCCAAGAAGGTGGCAGAGTAGAGGGCATCAGCCAGAGAGTTAAGTCTTTGTATAGTTGTCTTTCTGTTTCCCTCTGTTTATTTAAAAAAAAAAATTAAAAAACCCCTTAGAATTGATTACTTGGCAGTCAAAAGTGGATAAAAAATTATGCACAAATCCAAGGTAGCGACTTCATAAAATTATAACTTTCCCAGCATGGCATTCATCCTCTTCATTTTCCTCTGGCTTATGTGTCTAGATATTTCATTGCATGCTTAGAAATGTGTGGTATTTAGACACATTCTGTATTTATTCAGTTTTCTTCCTATTGATTTGCCATGTAGTTTCCCCTTGAAAGTAACTCATCTTGGATTTTTATGGGAACTGAAATGTTTCAGAGAGGTGTTGTACATTTATATTTCTAGCAAAGGCATGTTAAGATGAAGTTTTGTATTCAGGTATTTTTCCTGAATTTTTTCTTAATTCTAGTCTTGCAAAACAGAAAAAAACTTGCAGAAGAATATTCTAAAGCAGGGGTTCTCAACCTTTCCTTCCCCATGGACACCCTTTAAATACTTTTTGTGGCCACAGGCCACTAAGTCTTAATTCGAGATTTAAAGCACTAGACTGCATCACATACTTATTTCAATTTTCTCATGAAGGGTCTTCAAATTTGGAGAGAAAGGGCAATAAGTTAATCTGTTAATGCACATGCTCCTGTTACAATACGTTTATTGCAGTGATTCCATATGAATTTAAAGTAATAGCATCAACACTCTTCTTGCTCAGATGTCCCAGTTTATGGTATTTTAATGTGCTAATTCTGAATTTGATGCCAATCATTAAAATCTGATGAAAAGTTTTTACAGTTCTTCTCAGCTCCCCCCTGGTTTGTCTGTGTTCAGTCACCATATATTTTTGTTTAGGAGTCCAGGATCACCACTTGGAGGAAGAGACTTCAGCCCTGTTGTGGCCCTAAAGAGGGCTGTTGGGTTAAGAAAATGTCTTCAAGAGAAAAACCGCCTAGTTAAAGTGGGTCCCACCAACCATACTTGCACCAAATATGCCATTATGGAATAGCCGGTCTATGTAACAAACTGCTTCAACCTAGATTTGAGAGACCTATAAACACCTACAGCTGGTGTGTATAACTGAAGGCTACAGAGTCCTCTGTGTTCTTCACTTTTACATCAACTCTTTAATCATAGATTAGTTGCTTAATCTACATAATTGTCATAAAACAGCCTATCTGAAGGAATGTTATTATTTCCAGTTTATAATTTAGTGCAGAAACAATGAAATACTGATGTTTGGTGTGGGTAATGGCTTGAAAAATAAGTAGTACGTGATTTTCCTGTTTTACTTTTGACTTTGGCTTCAACTTAAAATGTGTTCTCAGCTGCTTTACATTTCTCAATTGCAGCGGCTTTCAAGTTGAGCTCATGGGTTGTTTTTTTGTCACTAGAGCAGTATAAATCCCAGCTGGGATTTGCCCACAGCTTGCCTTTCCATTTTCCTCTGCATGTACTCTCATGCAGGCATTCACAAATCTGCTGTGTTGGATACTTCAGTTACATTTGGCTGAGTGAAATCTTACTTCAGCTTTTGCATGTTTTCTCTTTCTCACAGAAACAAACTCGATTGGATATAATTCTGAGTTTTGATTCTGGACCTGTGGAAGGTGTCCACAGAAAACAGAGGAGCAGGTTAAAATTTTGCTCTTAATTGAAGGCAGGTGGCTGCTAATGACCAGCCAACTGTATGGAAATTGGCGTTGGGTTGTTTTTTGGACTAATTGGTGCTTTTTGTGTGTTGTGCTGGGGAAGGGGCAGCGTGGGCAAGCAGAGGGAAGCTGAGATTGGGGAAGGGGGAGCGAGGCCTATAGAATGGAACAGATGCAATAGAAGCTTGAAAATCAGTTGTGTATTCTTGCTGTTTTGTTTTATTCTCTCTACTTCTAGATTCTTTTGTGTAATTGTATTTCCTTTAATCAACATGTTGGTTTTCTTTGCTTGCTGCATTATCAGCTAAATTCTAAAAAACAACTCAATGAGATTTGAAGTGGAAAAAAGCTTATTGATGATAGATCATTCTTACTTAAGGCTTGAACATGCACCTGTACATTGATCTTTCTCATGTTAGATTATCTGGCAAAATCAGTGTTTGGAAATTGCTTTTTTTTTTTCCTCCAACTAATCTGTATTAAATGGTTATTTTCTCATTTTGATGACTGCTAATACTGTAGTAACTCTCCCAATGTTGTGGAAAGCTAGATGTGGATAACTACACCTGGAAATTTCTTACTTTGTAATAATGTACCTAAACTAATGGCAAAAGCATGTGAATTTTCTCTTCTGACTGGAAATGACCATTGTAATGTTCTGATCTTGACCTCCCTACCATGAGGCAATATTCAGATCCTAGAATGGTTTGGGTTAGAAGGGAGCTTAAAGGCCATCTAGTCCAACTCCCCTGCTATGAGCAG